TATAATATGTATAACAATATGTATAAAGAAATATACATATTATTAAAACATTAACCAGTCTTTGTCCTGTTATTTTGTCTTTCATAACAGGAAGGTCTCAGCCAAGAACTGAGAAAAGAGGGAGGAAAATTATTTTTTTCTCCCCTATAGTGCCTTCTTAGCTCCTTCTGCCAAGTGAGGATATAAGAAGTTTGCAACTTGGTAGCAGGTCCTCACTTGACCATACTGGCACCCTGATTTTAGATTTCTAGCTTCCAGAACTGATGCTGTTAAGGTCATATGGTGTGACATAGACACCTGCTCTTTGATCCCAGATATTCAGTGGAAATGGTGTACATCCTACCACCTAGTTCATAAGTATGTATCCTGTTTTCCTAACTGGACAGTTCTGGTAGAAATGAAACAGAAGCTTGGTAAAATAGGATTTTCACCTTATTTCACCATTACTGTGAACTTCTAAAGGCAGAGACCATATAGAATTGATGAAATCAATTAAAAAATAAGTGATAATACTGCCACTTCTAGCTAAGAAGGACATGTTACTAGGTCTTTTAGGCAGTGATTGAGGGGTACCCAGGGGCTCCAAAGTGTTAAGAAGTGCATGCTCTAAAAGGGGATCTGGCCATCCATGTGTACGGATGGCAAAGAAAACTCCAAAAATGGCCGATCCCTTGTGGATAAATGTACAGCCAAGCAGGCTTGGCCCAAAGTTGGCTTACAGAGGCTCTAAAGTTTGCCATAAATCTAAGTTACCTTTGGGTGGGGTACCATAAGAAAGGGGTTAAGCAGGCCCCAGAAAGGGAAAGAAGATCCAAAATTTAAAATGTACTATATAATCTACCATGAGCTCAAGATAACAGCCACCACTATCTCTGCCAAGAACAGGAGCAGCCTCCCCACATGTCTCTCACCCATGTCTCTTTTTCAAATGTCTCTTTGTCTCCCATCCAAGTTTCTCCTCCATGTCTCTGCCTCCTCTTTAATTTCCAATGTATATATGTACCTCACACTTCCCAGCTGCCCATCACTCACGAAGTCTAGTTTATGGCCTGCTGGGAGTTATAGTCCAAGGTAGCTGCAAGCTGCAGATATTTGGAGGTAGGGAAATGGTGCCCATTCACTGACTTGCAATGATCTGCAACCCCCCCTCCCTTCACGATACTCCTTCCCCTTTCACAGAGATACATCTATAACAGGGCAAGATTTACCTTTTTTGTAAAAAATGACTAAACACCTAGAAAATAAGTTTCACAGAACAACATTTTCAAGACATTAGTCACAAGGCACATGAGGACAGTGATCCCTGAAAATAACAAAATGAATGAGGGCAACCAGGAGAAACAATTTACTACCTGGAGAGCATGCCTAATGCATAGCATGATGACAGGGTACCCAGGGAGAGCCTAGTAGTCTCCTTGACTTGAGGAGAAACATTAGCAATCAGAGGAGGCCAAGGTAGTCTCAGTTCATAGGGAAAAATATAGGAGAAAAAAAGAACCTTCATATGGGCGAATCATTAAGTAGGCCTGTTTTATGTTTTGAATTAATTATTATTACAAATGTCATTATAAAATGGCTCTATCCCTGATAATATTCTTTGCTCTGAAATCTAGTTGTATCGTATTTATACAGTTGCTTCAGCTTTCCTTTAATTTATGCTAGGGTGATATATCATTTTCCATTTTTTTATATTCAACTCAGTTCTGTCTTTATATTTCAAGTGGTTCTTCCACTCCAGTTTTATTGATAATTGTCACAGAACATTGTGTAAATTTAAGGTATACAATGTGATGATTTGATACACATACATATTGTGAAATGATCACCACAATAAAGTTAATGTGTCCATCACATCAAATAATTACAATTTTGGGGGGTGGTAAGAACATTTAAGATATACTGTATTAGTAACTTTCAAAAATATATTGCATCATTAACTAGTCAATATGTTGTATTTCCAAAACATACTCACCTTATATCTGGACGTTTATATACCCTTTGACCAATTTCTCAAAGACAAACAGCTGTGTCTCACTTTAGAGCCAAACTGATAATCTTCCCTTTAACTGGAATATTTAATGTGATTATTGATAAAATTGCATTTAATTGACCATCTTCCTTATTTCCTATTTATCCATTTGGTTTTTTCCCTTTTTTCTGCCTTCTTTGGGGTTCATGTGCCTTTTTATGCACATGAATAGTTTCCATCTATAAACTAGGTTTGCAGTTTGTAAAGGAAAACTGTAATCGAAAACCGACTATTATGATTATGTCACTGTTAAAAAAAAATCAAGCACTTGCAAAGTAAAGACTCATTCAGAAAGAAAATATTTGATTCCACATTTAAAAGAAGTGTAAGTGCTATCTAAGCCTATCTTGGAAAAGATTAAGAATGTGGTAGTAAAGACTGCATTGATAGAGATAGAGATATAAATATAGGTATAATTCTTACATTTATTTTTTTTCTTTTTTAAAAAAAGATTTATTTATTTATGCATACAAGAACTGGGGTATAAGCCAGAGGTGCAGGGGGCAGGGTGTATGTGAGAGGATTCACCAGAAAGAGTGGGGAGCAGAACAGGCAGATCTCTTGAAATATCCTGCTGAAGGGAGCTACGGGCAAGACAGTAGTGGCCTGCTGTGCTATGTGGGTGAGCTCCCTGGCTGGAGATTTGCTGGGGCTGGCAACAGCTTGACAGCACTGTGTCTTTAACCCCTGAGCCACAAGGGAGACCCCAGACCTTATTTCATTTTGAGGTAATTTGAGCCATTGTGTAGGAGCCCAGCAAATTCGAATTTCAGGTCCATGTGCCCATGGGCTTGGATAGGCCTGTGCCTTCCTGAGGAGTTTTGAGGATTGTTGGGTTGTTGTTCAGTGGGTGGATTATGGTCACGCCCTGTGATTTTGTCTAGTTGCCTATGATGAAGACATGCTCTTAGTTTTACACCAGAGAACTTTTCTGTGGTTCTAAACTAAAGCAATATTTTAAACACTATGGCTCATTTTTCTTTGCATATCAGTGTTTAAATAGTCTAGAAAGCCAAATTGAAACTCCACATTTACTATAATTCACCACTTACGTTACTTTAACTTGATTAGTTTGCTATCAAGTACCATTGAAGTCAAGCTTTAAACAGTAATATAACGAATTTTAATAAATTCCAGTCTGTATATATGGTAAACAGTGTTTAAAATTTTTCTTTCAAATTAATCAGGTTTTTTTTTTAAATAATAAATTTTATTGTTATATTCCCCATACAATTGCAGCCCCCCCATTCTGACCCCAATCCCTCCCCTCCCGCCCCCGCCCCCCTAAAAGTGTCTCTGGCATAGGTTGAAGTATATCTTAGGCTATAGTCCAATATTTTGCCAGCTCATTTTATGACATAGGATTAGTTTCTCAGAAGCAGTATTTTGATTTTAGCATATGTTAAGTCAAGCTGACATCCTCCCTATCCCCACCCACAATTTTCTTTAAACAGAAATCACATCCTGTCTCTCTTTCCCTTGATGTTTTCTAAGTGGCAGTCTTACAAAGTTCTAAGTTGGAAGAATACTTTGTTTGTTTTTTATAGCTTTGCATTACTCTGAAATAAATGCCCAGAGCAAATCAATTGAAATGGGTTAGAAAAGCAAGCAGAGAGAGGCAGTATATTCCCTTCACAGAGCCAAAGTCGATTGGGCTAGTGGAGATCATAGTTAGCTCAATGTCAACGAACCCCTTCAATTCAGTTACCTACCTTGTTAAGAAGCTGAACATCCACTGGGATCTGGAAATTGTGTGTATTACAATGGACACTATTAGGCGACTAATACAAAGTGGCCCCAACTCTTAAGTATGTATAGTACACTCGCTTAATCTCTTTCATACCTTAAAGTGTCAAACACACATGTACATCAGCAGGATCCCAAGACAGCATTCTATAAGTTGTAAGAATAAAATCTAAAAATATATGCATATTAATCATGCACAGCAAATAATATTAGTTTAGTATTGTATATTATTTAGAAATTATCAAGCATGCAAATATTATTTACTCAATTTATTATATTTTAAGGTCTGAAAAGTTAACATTTAAATGAACAAACCATAGAGCAATATTTAGTATTTAAAATCTTACTATTTAAACATTTTTCAGAATTAAAATCAATTTGATTAAATTTTCTTTTCATGGATCCTTATCCTAAGTATGAAGGAATCATGTTAGTTCAACAAATCAAATCTAACATATATAGGAAATGTAGAAAATTCAGATTATTCTCTTCATGTAAAAATCCAAATCTTTAAAAAGAATAAAGTGTACACTTTTATTACACACTAACATAATCAGGAAGAAAATAGGGCTATTTTTAGCCCTAAATGATCAATTATGTATGATTTGGTTGTATGAGATTAAAAAAATGTTTCTGAACTAGCAGTTTCTGAAACTTTACATTGAAAGTAAAATATGTTCAGTTTATTTGGAGGAAATTGTAAGAATATTAGGTTTATACAACCACATTTTAGTCTCTCTAAACTAAGCTCATTTGGTGCTTAAAAATTATCTAAAGCTATACATTTCCCTTTTATTTTGTTTTTTACATTTCCCTTTTAATACTGAATTATTGCACTGCATACTTTTTGAAAAGTAGTAGTAGCACTTTTACACATAATTACCCTGCCAGATTAGAACTTTTTAATTAATTTTTTTAAGATTTATTTTTTATTTATTTATGCATACAAGAACTGGGGTGTAGGACAGAGGTATGGGGAGTAAGAGGATTCACCAGAGACAGAATAGGGAGCAGAACAGGCAGATCTACTGAATACACTGCTAAGGGGAACAGAGGGTCAGACAGGAGAGGTCTGCTGGGCCATGTGGGTTAGGCACTGGCTGGGGATTGAAATCTTGCCAAAGTGGCTGGTGATGGCTTGATAGCACTGAGACTTTAACTCCTGCACTACCAGGGAGACCTAATTTATTTTATTTTTAATTAATTTTTTTGATTATAATTTTGACTGCAAATTTCTGCTTCTGAATCCAGTCAGGTAGGCTGCTGGTTTAGGATAATTTATCTTTTTTTTTCCCTCTACTTTTGTCCTTGGATATAGTTATATTGATTTTGAACCCAATTTTTTAATGTTTGGAACAAGGAGTGCCTTAGAACACCAATTCATGTTATTTGATCAGCAGCCTCTGTACATCTTTTCTCTCACTTACAGAGAGGTAAACATTATTATTGACTCTTTTCCTTCCATGAATTTAAATAGAACTTTCTTGCTGTCAAATCTTACCTTGATATAATGCTATCTTACTGTCACTTTTATTACCTTTAAGACCAAGTTGCATTAACTGTCACATTCACAACTTCAGTGTCTCTTTTCATATAATAGGCTGAAGGCACCAGACTGTTGTTTCAAACTTTGGAAACCTTTTGTAAAACTAACCTCATCATTCAAACACATTAGTTCTCAGTATTACTACAGTGCTTCAGGGATCACTGTTTCTAATTAATTCTATATTAACAGAACTGAAGTCCCAATTTATTCAAATAAAAAGAGATGGTATGCCCACAGTTTCTTAAGAAAACTCAGGACTAAGTGTTACATATAAACTTCAGAGGGGAAAAGTATTTATGTAGCAGGGCCTGTTCAAAAATACTAGTCTATTCCTCAGTATAAAGTTAAATTCTTGGTAAACTGCACGCTTTTGCCCTGCTTAATATTTCCTGGGACATATCCTACCCAAAGCCAAGACAGTCACAACTACTTGTCCTGATGAAAATCAGTAACTTAGAAAAGTTAATTTTCTCTTTAAAAACTAGCTTTATTTAAAAGAATCTGAAGCATAACACTATAGGACACAAACGTACAATACATATTGTTCAAGAAAGCCTGCCATACATGATTTCTATTACTAATAGGTATATATACTGATAAATAACATTCTTTATACAACACACAAATGACATTTAGCATGATTCTTGAAAAGAAACACCAAGAATAACATGGACTGATATCATAGAATCTCTATTTGTCTACTAATCCACAGAATAAAAAACTAAAACATGGAAGATAAATTAAATATCTTCAATTTTAAATTCAAGCATGTTGTTTAAGGAAGAAGGAAAAGGAAGTAGGAAATTGTAAGAGTTAAATAGTCCAAAAAGAAAAGAGAGTTGGCTTACCACTATTTATAGTAATTAGTAAAAAGTATTTCAGAATTGCGATTTGGTTTAACATTTGGAAGCCCTTAAGACAATCAAAATAGCCATTATCTACTACATTTGGTTATTTTATTTCTCAGAAAATTGTCACATGTTCATTAACCACATAAAGAAAACAATTTGGGGCAACCTAGTTATTTCATACTTAAATTTTTCTGCAAAGCAATTCATGAAATGTTTAATACTAATTCTTCTTTAAACCTTTATGATTTAAGCAGAACTAGACCCAGTTCTAAAAGGTTGTATGTGAAAAATGCCAGGAAAAAAGAACGCTGAGGAAAATATTAGGCATCCAAGTTTTAAAAATGTATAGAATTATGACACAGTATGGTTACCTGGCACTTTTTTAATATTAAGAATTGAATCAAATTTATTGCTATGTCAATCCTATTGACAGTCAACAATCAAATGTACAAAATATACCACAACTACCATGCCAAAAGTGATGCTGTATAGTTATCATTAACATAGAATAGGAAGACATTCATCTTGTAATATACATCATTGATATAGTAAGCCTTATTTATTCAGGATAGTTGGAATTGAGAAAAGTCTAAAATTTTGAATATTTTAAAAAGATATGCAGTTTAAGCACTCACAGGCATTCCTTTTCAAATATATAATTTCAAATAAATTTGCATTGGCCAAGTATTTACTTATTACAATTCTTTTGTATACTTGTTTTAATAACAAAAGAGTATTTTTAAACTAGTATGCTGAGATAAATGCCTCTTAAAATTTTGCCAACATTAAACATTTTTCTTTGAATTTTTGATTATAACTTTTATTAACAAATCTTTTCATCAGAGAGTACAAAGTAAATACAAAGTCTTTGTTCTGATGGTTGGAAATTCTAAGTAAATTAGAGGAGTTTTATAGTATCTTAATAGTTCCTTAGTAGTGAAAATTAGTAGTACTACTTATTTTGGTTTCGATGGAGTGAATAGTATCTTTTTTGGTTGGAAGATATGAGAATAAGTTCAAAGTGTAGTATATAATTTCATTGGTATGGGTTTGAAAAATCCTAATACACAGTGTCAATTAAGATATTTCCTTAGTAAATTATAATTGTAAGAAGATCAAATTTTTAGTATGTATTGCATTATGAGTGTTATGATTTATAACACCAACTTTTATCCATTTCTCTCATTTCAAAGGCATCAGGCCATCTACTAACACATAAATATTGATGTTTCACATACTTCATAGAGTAGCTTAAACATACCAGCATAAGAAATAATTAGTATTACATAGTAATTTCCTTTGCCATAGGAATAAGTGTTGGACAAAGTCTGGAAACATTTTATTTTCCAATTTGAATTACAGTAATTTTGCCACAGACCACAGCACTAGTGCATGTGTTACTTCAGACATGCTCTAAGAACAAAACAAAAAATTACTGCAAAAATACATGTCACCAATGTGGAACACACTCAGATTTGTATAAAAGTACTGAACTAATATCCCAAAAAGAGGTATATGTAAACAGTACATAAGGAAGAAATAGTTTTAATATGAAACAGTCATTTAAGTCACATACATCATGATAAGAAGCAGGACTTTCTCTTATAAAAGATAATATTTTAACTAACAAGCAACATCATCTACATAATCTATAGAACAAGAAAGGTACAGGTATTTAGAATACATTTTTATATGATTGCAAGTAAGTATTTGACAAAATACGACGAAGATGAAGCTTATCCGTCAGGTTTCATTAAAAGATTTAAAAGACATACAGGCAGCCTCTAGTGTATCAATGTCAACTTTCTTCCCTTAATTTCTCCTAGACCATTGTTCAGTTGAGATATTCATGACATCTTTAGCTTCCTTACTCCAGGGGTGCCTCTGAACTCCCATAACTACAGTGAGATTTGGAAAAATGATATATAGTACTCTATCGCTCCACCGGACAAATGGAAAAGAGAAAAGGGAGAAGTTACAGAAATGCAGAAACAAAAAGCATCTGCATTAAGAAGTTAAAAAAAAGAAAACTGAAAAATTGCAGCAATATAAAGTAGGAAGTACTTTAGACATGACAATATCAGTTGATTCACTAAAAATATTGCTTCCCACAATGGCTGAAAGATAATCATATTGTCTGAAATCTTAGATATTAGACAAAGATTCATTCTGAATAAAGTGTTAAGAAAAAAAGAACTTAGTCCCATTTTGCTTTTTTTCCATTCACCTCTTGGTGGAAGACGCTTTCCCTTTAAAATATAGTCAACCACAGTCATACAAAGAAATGGAAATTCTGACTGGAGAAAAGATATGAAAATTTGAAGCACAAAGCAGCCAGGAGGGGGAAAGTCAAGTAATCATCCTTATATAACATACCACTGGAGAGTTCAGGATGGCAAGAGGGCAACTGGGAAAAACACCAAAGCCCTCAACCTTCCTGAGTCACATCAGGAAAAAGGTAATAACTCTTCTGTTTTCTCCTCCATGTTGATTGGTTTCCTAAGAAAAGTGAGTACTCAGCATGACACTATTGGTTAACTACACCAAGTTTAAATAAGCCTTTATGACTTCCCTAAAAATCTAATCAATTTATATAGAGTTCCAAACCACTATTTACAAATGAGCTTTGGGAGCCAGAATGCTTTTAATTAAGCTTTTTAAATTAAAAAAAATCTAAAAATAGCACAAATACACATGCATATGAAACCTCTACAGAGTGCAAAAAAGAAATTCAAAAATTCTTTAGTGCTCCCTTTAAAAAACCATTGCTTATGTATTTTACTAGTAAATGCAATTATATGTTGGACATTAAGTACTAACACTCTCAATTTGCTTAAGACAAACAAATTCAAAAGAATATTGGATAAAGACTTCTGACACTTACTTTATTTGGATGATTAAAGTTGGCGGATTTCGTGGTGACCCATACTATTCATTTTTTTTCTATCACTAGGCACAGTGTGGAGTCTTTAAAAAACACCAAAAAAAAAAAAAAAGGTTTCTTTACATTGTGTTCATCTATGAATAAGTACTAACACAAGAAAATCTTCAGCTTTATGTACATAATCTAATTTGAATAACAAGAATCATAATAGCAGTATTCCGAAGTATCTCACACAAAAGGAAAACACTGATCACAAATCTAATGCTAAGCACTGTATCTGAAGAATTTATTTTTCTTTTACAAGCTGTTTCAGTATTAGTGAATCCAGTAGCATCTATAAACAAGTGGATCAAAATATTTTAGTGAATAAACAAAGTAAGTTCTGAGAAAAGAACTGATGCTTTGAAACTTTGACAGTAACCTGGTCTTGGTGAGAGAGCCTAGTTATTGATAATTAGCCAGGTTGAACTTTGGCAAACCTTGAGAATGCACGAGAAACTCCAATTTCCTGCTCAGTTGCGTATGTGTGCCTCTGTGCATGTGTACACGAGATGAGGGCTTTGCAGTGAAACAAAAGGATTACACCAAAAGAGGTGTAAAGCATGGTATGCATTACTTTCTATCATTACTTAGTGATAGATTTTGAAAAGTTTAGAGCAGTTCATTATTTGTTCTAAGAAAGCCTCTAACAATTTGTACAATAGCCTTCTTTGGGTCAAGTTAGACAAATACCTGGTCATTCTTTCAGTTCATTATTTTCCCTACCAAAAGCATTTGGATCACTTTTGGCTTAGTATTAAGAGACAAATGTGGAACTAGGAAGAAACTTAATTCAAATACAAGACAACATTCATCAACTATGATTATAGTTTGACTATGATTCAGTGTCAAAATCAACTAAGGTTTTTTGAATATTTACAGATTCTTAAGTAAGGTTTCTGAAGACCTAAGTACCTGAATAAAAATTGTAGGTTTGTAGGCTTTAAAAACAACCACTCAAAAATAGAAAATGAAAGAATCACAGTATACATCTAGCATCTTTAGACTAGCATGAGCGAAGTTATTTCATTTTCACAAAACTAACTACTGAAACTGCAAGCAACAGAGGACTTAAGAAACTGCATAATCAATTTTAGCAGTAAGTACACTCAAGTACTACCATGTAGAGTATTAGCTTCTGAAAACACTGGAAGGTTCTACTCAGTATTTATCTAGCTGTATTCAGAGTCACAAAAAAATTGGAATCTGATACTTGGACTGGGCATATAGCACATGGTGCATAATTTCTTAAAAGTCAACACACCCTAGGAATCGCATAACTAGGTCCTTCAACATTTAGAAAATTATGTATCTTTAACAAAAGCTAGTATAAGCAAAATCTTCAAGTATACTACTGAACACACCAAATGCGACAGTTGGCCTTTGATGTGCATTTTAACTAGCTTCAACTGGTAAAGTTTTCACACACAGGAGTACTTAGTATCAGAGTTTATATAATTTCATTTCCCCAAATTGTAAAGATATATATTTTACAACTACTGAAAATATTTGTACTCACCTCTAACTAGTCACAGGTAAATGGAGAAAACTTTATATTACTTTGTACCATATGAAATTGCTGTTTTTGTAGGACAAAATTAGAACACTTAAAAAAAAGTTTATATTCAATCAAAATATACATCATATGCATTCAATTTTCTCTTGATAGGATATTAAGTATTTCATTTTTACAAAATTTATCAGATGTTAGGTTGTATAAATTCTTTGAATCCCTCAATTATTGCTTCTCAATTGGAGAATATGTTGGTTTTAAGAAAAAACTCCAAATGATGAAAAAGATGGAAGCTCATTGGATAAAGCGCTGGTGACTACCACAGACAATATTTAATAGCCCAATTCAATTGACTTTGCTTTAGTGGTTTATGATGTGTGAGGTCAAGAACTGTCATGCAAAAGGGTAGATTCACATTTATAAACCAAAGGGCACTGTTTTTCAATCAAATTTTCATACATAATTTAAATTTCTTGGCAATATGCTGCTGTTGTTGCTTCATCAGGTTTAAAAAGTAGCAATTAATTATCCCTTTTGCAGATCACCATATGGTCTTCAGAACTTTTTTGGTGACATAAATAACACTGGTGCAAGTTTGGGAATTCCACCAACATCCAATCACTGTGTAAAATGGTATTACTTGTGCCACAGTTTCGTTTTTTTTTTTCTTTTGGTCATATGTTGTCATCCTTTCAAAAGTGGGTTTTTGCTGTTCTCAATCTTAATGATTGCTCCTCCAACTGTCTCCATTCTGATTATCTTCTCAAGAGGATCTCTGAGATCCATTTTTACACTTTCCCCAGTCAGAGCAGAAATTCCTGTCTGCAGCAAGGCCCTGAATTGTTGTTTGTGATCACGCTTCCTCCTTGACTCTTAATTGATCTTTGTTTAAAATATGTTCTGATTTCCCCTGAGGCTCATTTTAAAATTCAGGTACACAAAACAAGATCTTTCAAACCACCACCACTGAGTTCTTTTGCCAGTAGAGCCAAAGTAACAAAACAACTCAATAATTTTAAAAATAGAAAAACATAATATAATTCTAAATAGCATGACTAAAAATATACTTTGTCAACTCTGCCAATTGCAGCCAATTTTCAGTTGATTTAATATTAGCAATTTCATGTGGTACAATTGACAAGCTAATCAACAAGTACTTATTGAGCATCTACTTTATGCTCACACATCTGTCTCATATCTGTACAAACAAATATCCTGGAAAGAGTGACTTGAAAACATGAAAGTCACTAATTTCAAGGACCCTAGTGGGGGAGGATATGGTGTCATATTCTATTAAAAGCATCCAGTAAAATGTATGCTTTTTTCCATGTTATAGTTACATATATTTTGTTCCGAAATATGTTAAATGGATCCTTGAAAAAAAATTGTACTAAATGTTGAATGTCATATTGCCAAAGTTCAGCACTGAAATACACATTTTCCAATGATTCTAACTTTTGAAAGTCAAAACTTGCCTATATTTGCTATATATTATTTTGAAGCTTCAAGAGGCTTTTGTTTATGATAAACAACAACTAACATTTATTTGTATAGTACTTTCTACAGCACCCCATATACATTATTCTCACCTAAAACAGGAAAGACAATACAAAATTTGCACTAGTGATGAAGTGTAATATTAATAAAAACTAAAAGCTAAATCATCTTTGTGTGCATTTAAAAAAATAATGTAAAACATTAAAATCCTGGGTCACTGAACCTCTGTAATACACAGGGGAGAAAAACCACTTTAGTTAATGCTTGTGATTAGGCATCACTGCCCACTGCAGGTGGACCAAAAGTCTCTCTAGTGCGCATTAACTGGACATCTTTGTCAGCCATACAGGTATCACAACCCCATACTGCTGATGCTTCTGCAGTTAGGAGGCCATAAGCTGTTTCAGTCATTCCAGTGCAGATTCGATGAAACCATTTCTGACAAGAGGCTTCACATAAGATGGCATCCTGATCATCATTCACTTCATTTGTACAAATTCCACAAGGATACACCGGATCAGAAGAAGAATGGCCATGACGGCTTGGGTGGAGAGAGGATTTATTGCTTTTTTCAGTGGTGCAAGTATCTGCAGCACCTCTAGCTTGTCGTGGTTTATTCTGTGTCCCATTTGCACAGCTGTTATTTGTAGCTTCAGTACTGCTTGAACGGCTGTTCTCTTGACTTACTGCATTGTTTCGATTAACATTTTTTAATTCAATGTTACTCTGATTCACAGTATCATCCATATTTAAGTGAGGTGGATGAGCAGAGGAATTTTGATTAGTATTTTTGGTTGTTCCTTGACTAAAGTCTTGTTTTGGGGGTGGTGCCTTTGTTTGCCCAAAAGTATTTGGGGGAGGAATAAAAGAATGATTTGATTCTAATGGAGAAGTAAAATTTGAATTAGTTCCAGGAACAAAGTTAGATGCCAACTCAGGGTTAGCTACTTGGCTAGGATTCTGTGGAGGAATTTGACCAAAGCTTTCAGCAGGATTTTGTCTAAAATGTTGATTAGGCATATTAACATTCTGACTTAGTGCATTATTATAAGAAGGATTCCCAAAACTTGAATTATCATGTGGCCCAAAGTTAAAAGCATGAGGTCGATTGAAACCCATGCCCAAAGGATTCTGAGGAAATGGGTGTGGCTGATTCCTGAGTGAATAAGGGCCACAATACGGGGAAGACATCCTTGGAGGAACGTGAGGTGGCATTCTGAATGTGCTATAGCCTCCAAAGCCAGGATAACCAGGGCCAAGATAAGGATTTGATGAAGGTAGTGGTTTGTAGGATATAGTATTATAGTTGTCATCAAATGGATTAGCAGCCACTAGATGGTCAGCGTTTGGATTTGGTGGTGGAGCATACTCAGACAATGGAGGAAACGAAGGCCCCTGAAATACATATTTTTGATGAAAAGTCATTAAAATTGTCCTAGTAACACTTACACACCTAATTTTAGTCAAATTTCTCTTGCAGTCTTATTAATTAAATTCTTAACTTCACTTTACAATTCCAATTGATGTTTATATTTAATTATATTTAAAGATAAAAATGTACACATTTCTATAACTTAGGAAGAGAAATAAGGTATGCTTTTCTAGCTTAAATTGTTATTTCTAACTTTGAAAGAATTTAACTTTCAAAAGAAGCTTCATTACTATAATTTTCATTTAATGCAATAGTCTATAACTCTAGAATCCTTCACTAAAAATACCTTTTACACTCCCAAATAGCCATAAAATTAAATAACAATAAACAGGATCTAAACTTTCTTCCTAGCTCAACTTTAGGGAGTAGCTATTAAAGTATTCCCAAAGCACTAAGCTCTAGACCACAGACTGGAAAAATAAATTTCCAGTTTTAGTCACATTGAAAGTTTGATAGAGTGCAAAACAGAGAAAAGAAAAAAGTAATCTGTACACACATCATATCCATTTGAAGTCTCTATAATAACAAGAACAAAGCCATGAGAGTTTGTATTTAAAACTGTATAGTAAAACCACAGGTTAAAAACAAAAGATGTCTCCATCATAATTGTTTCCTATTGCACATACTACTAAATTGAACATTACTATAATTGAACATTACTTCAGGTTAAACTTGTGTTCATATATTTTAAAATCTTTTAATACAACTATAGGCATCTATGGCTTCAAAATTAAAATTGAAAATAATTTGTCTGCCCATACTTCCTTCTTCCAATATTCATTCTCCATCTATAGTCTAACAATAACCACTAGTTGCAGAGTTTAAAAAAAAAAAAAGTACAATCTCTGCAGAATTCACTAGTAGGTTCTGAATGAAGATAGAAAGCAAAAGTAAAAGTCATGTACAAATTAGAACTTTCTTCATCAGTATGATCATATGAGTGAAGTAAAAACCATCAATTTACCTGTGTATTGGCCTTGCGCTTTTTCTTATCTGGGCTTCCAAGTTGTACACTTGGTCCTCCTAACCCATCCAGTCCACTATCACCACCTAAAAATAAAACATAAAATCCAGACACTATTTTCACCTAAATGAAATCATTTTATATTTCTCATAGCAGTATCTATTATAATTACCTGTCAACATGTTTTCTATTTTTGTTAGATAAGAGCAATATTAAGCTTTTGTTATCTTTGCTCTTAAAGAATCTCCCCAGGATTTCACCCAGAAACAGTCATTCATCTCTGCCATAATGTTTTTTTAATTCTTTCTTTCAGTGAAAAAGAAAAATAAAGTATCTCACCCACCCTTGAATCTCTAAGTCATCTGGTTCCCTATTTGTCTGCCCATACTTGACTTCCCTTTGAGTCAACCTGGTTCCACTGTTACTCATTTCTGGTCTCTTTCCAAAAATAGCCTAAATATATTCAAGTATATCTTTTTTGGACAGGACACACATAATGACATAATATAACAAATAATGGCATAAAAAACACAATGGTCTGCCCTTGCTTTCTTACTTAGAAATCATTCCATCATCATTATATATAGAACTGTTTATTTTTTTTTAAAAGATTTATTTATTTATGCATACAAGAACTGAGGTATAGGCCAGAGGTGTGGAGGGTGAAAGGATTCACCAGAGACAGAGTGGGGAACAGAACAGGCAGGCTGACTGAAATACACTGCTGAGGGGAGCAGTGGGGGCGAGTCAGGAGAGGTCTGCTGTGCCATGTAGGTATCTCCTGGCCAGGGATCAAACTTGTGCTGCAGTGGCTGCAGATAGCTTCATAGGTTGCGTCTTAACTCCTTGCGCCACCAGGGAGGCCCAACTGTTCCATTCTTTGAGCATTATTTCACAGTACGATTATACTAGTCCCCTTTCTATTGTGGTTGTGGAAACTACGACAACAAAATTTAACATGAAACTTTCTTATGTACAAGCTATAACCAGTTAGTCATTCAACTAGTCCCCTTTCTATTGATTGATATTTAGGTTGTCTTCAAATCTTTGCTGTTACTGCATTGAAAAATCCACGAATAAATGTTTTTACAAATACGTACAAGTCATTCCTTCAACTGCAATTATGGCATGAAAGTTATGTCCCTTTCAATTCTTATAGCTATTAAAACACAACGATGCATGTATTACTTTCTCAATGGTATATAATCAAGCAAAACCAAAAACTTGATTGTGAATCTAAGAGATTAAAGAAAAAAATTCACCAATGGAATTTTTCTTATGGATAAAGCATTTTTCATTATAATTTTTTATTATGAAGAATTATGAACATATACAAAAGTAGACAGAATAAAATAAATCCCATACAACCATCACCCAGTCCTAACAAGCATCAATATGTATCGTGATCCATAATTAAAATTTAAAAAGTCATAAAATGCATCAATATTTAATTTTTTGGATTCTGGTCTTTGAGAAAATAAAAAATAATTTTCCTTTTTTTAGCTAATATTTTTATGGCTTCATTTTAAAAAGTTTTATTTTTAATTGTGGTAAAATATATTCAACATAAAATTACCATTTTAATAGTTTCTGAAGTGTACAGTTCATTAATATTAAATGTATTCACACTTTATGGAACCAATATCCAGAGCTTTTTCATCTTGCAAAACTGAACTCTACATCCATTAAATAACAACTTATTTCATCCTGCCCTCAGTCCCCAGTAACTGCCATTCACTTTATTTCTATGAATTTGAATACTCTAGATACCTCATACAAATGGAATCACACAGTTATCTGTCTTTTTGTGATTGGCATGTTTTACTTAGCATAAAGTACTCAAGGTTTATTCATATTGTAGCCTATTTCAGAAACTCCTTCCCTTTAAATCCTAATTTTCTACTGTATTTATATACTACATTTTTTAATCCATTGATAATATAGCTGTGTTGCTTGCACTTTTTGGCTATTGTGAGCAATGCTGCTATTAACTCTGGTATACAGCTATCTCTTCAAGACTCCACTTTCAATTTCTTTAGATACATACACAGAAGTGGAAGTGTCAGGTCATAGGGTAATTTTATTTTTGATATGAAGGCAACCATACTGTTTTCCATAATATGGTTTCAGTTTTACATTACATATTCAATCAATCTGGAATTTACTTTTGGATAAAAAGACAACATATTTTGTTCTAGACAGCCAGCCAGAACTAGAATATCTTTCCATTATTAGAATTCTTCCTGTAAATGTGATTTTATGAATATGATTTTATTCATAATGATCATGTGAACTTCTTAAACTTACTGTTATTTTAAGTTATTTTTATTTTGTTCCTCTGGATGAAAACTTTTCTTCTACACACTCTTAACTGGTTATAGCTTGTACATAAAAAAGTTTTATGTTAAATTTTGTTATTTGTCCTAGTTTTTTTTTTTTAAAGATTTATTTATTTATGCACACAAGAGCTAGGGTACAGGCCAGAGGTGCGGAGGTGAGAGGATTCACCAGAGACAGAGTGGTGAGCAGAACAGGCAGACTGACTGAAATAGACTGCTGAGGGGAGCAGCAGGCAAGACAGGAGAGGTCTGTCTCGCCATATGAGTTGCTCCCTGGCCAGCCAGGGATTGAACTCGTGCTGCAGAGGCTGCGGATTGCCCCATAGTGCTGTGCTGAATCCCTTGAGCCACCAGGGAGGCCCTGTCCTCGTTTCTATAACCACAATTTTAAATTTTTCTAAGTAGCTCTAATAGAAAACTGCTTTGTATTTTGTTATGTGGGAGACTATTTCCAATACACTGATTTTTCTCCATGGCCAAATACCATCTCTTTTTCTAAAGTCCTACTGTAAAGATATTGTTACTGGTCTCCCTTCTCCTACCTATATTCTGTCACGAATTTATTCTTTTTTTTTTTTTTAAAGATTTATTTATTTATTTATACAAGCACTGGGTACAGTCAGAAGCGCAGGAGGGTGAGAGAATTCACCAGAGCCAGAGCGGGGAGCAGAGCAGGCAGAAGGACGAAGTACACTGCTGAGGGGAGCAGCGGGCAGCAGGAGAGGTCTGCGCGCCATGTGGGACCCTCCTCCTGTGGCCAGGGAGCAGCCAGGGATCGAACCGGCGCTGCAGAGGCTGTGGGCAGCTTCGCTACCCAGCGCTCAACCCCTGCGCCACCAGGGAGGCCCTGTCATGAATTTATTCTTAATATAAATGTTAATCTAATATTTTAAAGGTCATGCCACTTTCCTCTTCAAAACCCTTCCATGTTCATCTATACTGTTCTTCAAATGAAATCCAGGTTCTTTAACATAGACTCAAAGCTCTGTGTCTTAGTCTGGTAGGGCTACCATAACAAAATACCATAGCCTGAGGAGGTTTAATGAACAGAAACATATTCTCACAATCTGGAGATAAGAGGTCCTGGTGAGGGTGCTCTTCCCGGCTTGCAGATACCTGCCTTCCTAGCACTAAAATGATCTGGTCCTGGCATTTCTCTCTTTTTTTTTTAAGACTGATTTATTTATGCATACAAGAGCTGGAGTGTAGGCCAGAGCGGGGGTGAGAGGATTCACCAGAGCCAGACTGGGGAACAGAACAGGCATATCTACTCAAATAAAATGCTGAGGGGAGCGGCAGACGAGACAAGAGTGGTTTGCTGCGCCATGTGGGTCACCTCCCTGGCAGGGATCGAACTCGTGCTGCAGTGGCTGGTGATAACCTGATAGTGCTGTCTTTAACCTCTGCGCCACCCTCTCCTAAAAGTACTCACCAGGGTCCCTTAACACACTAATCTTTTCAATTTCTCAATCATAAAGTTCCTCTCTACTTAAGAGTTATTACACACGCTATTCTCTCTGATAAGAGTGTGTTCCAGGTGTTATACTTTAGTTCTTAGCTTAAATGTCCCTTTTTCAGGATCTACATGTATTCGCAGGTCTCCTCTAATTATCAACTCACTGGATTTATTAATCTATTACAAATATGCATATCTATATGTTATTATAAGTATATATCTATATTGATGTACATATAGATGTGTATATATGTGTGCGTGTTTGTACACATACACTTAGTCTGTCTCACCCATTAGTTAATTCTTAATCTCTATAAGGACATTTCATTTGTGTCTTGCCACAGTAAATTGCTTTATCCATGGGCTCCTGGTAAGGGCTTGCTGAACTAAAATTATAAAATTTCTAATTGATAGAACTACTGCTAAAGACTAAGGCAGTTTCTACCATACCAGACTGTTACAAAATTAAAGGGAAGGTAATTACCATATAAAATTTAATAATGAATGTCTACTGTGTCAGATACTGTTAGAAGCACTTTTGTATACAATTCTTTCACTTGATTCTTGAATGCTATGGGTTATACCCATTTTGTAGATGAGAAGCAGACTCTTTTGTAGAATCTCAGATTTAAATAACTTACCCAAGGTCACAACATTTCTGACTCAAAAGCCTGTATGTGAAGTTTTAAACTGTATGATATATAAAATAGTTTTCAAACATCAGTCTGCACAAACACTGCCCAGAGAGTTTGCTAAGACACAGATTCTTGAGCGCATTCCCAGAGATTCTGTTCAGTAGCTTTGGGTAAAGTCCATAAATCTGAATTTCTAACAAGAGCCCACGTAATATAGATGCTGTTGCCAGTACAATGACCACATGTGAGTAGCACCACACAATGCTATTTCCAATAGGCTACACCCCTGTCATTTTTTTGAGGTATGTAACAAATACTGTGGCAAGCACTTTGTGGGCCGAGCACACTTCCACTGCACTACCCTGCTCCCCTGTGGGAGGCACTTTCAAAAGAACTACTCTTTAGGAGTAGGAAATAGACACACTCATTCATTATAAAAACAAGTTAAACAATGCATACAAATGCAAAGAAAAAAAATCACTCAGTGCCAGTTTAAACACACCATTCTGCTGGATTCCTGTAAGGCTGTGCAGACAGGGGGTGCTAGAGGGAAACTGGAAGGCTGGAGTAGAAAGATGGAATATTCTCCTGTTCCTCTCAGCGGCATCCTAGCCTCTCATCTACTTTCTTCAGTGGCAGTTTGTTTCAGTGGTTAA